GTTTCATGGTTATTATTTGTACATTCCCGCATACCTTATTTAGCACAATAAGTGATAACTGCACTGAAGCCATAGTTGGGCATGTACTTAAGTTAACTGTAATATAAAAATGGCTGCTGAACTGAGCAGCAAGAGACCATACAGAGACCTTGGAAGCAGAATTTGACCTCACCTTGTTGTACCAGTCACTTTGTACCACTCTGAAGAGATTTGTAGTTTCCAAGCACACAAACCATGTTTGTTATTGACACATGAAAAGCTCTTGATCAATGATCATCTTCAAAGTTTAGTCTGGTCCCTTGGGACCCACATCAAGAGTAAGGATAATAATAGAAGTGAAAGAATATGTGGTACATGTACTTTTGAGACGGGCTGTTAACTGCTGTTGATCTTAAAAACGAAGTATTACAGATCTGAGTTCACTGGAGCAGAGGCTTCTGACTCTTGACTCCATGTCCTCTTTCTTGATGCTTTAGGGTGCTTAGGTGTAGTGGCATGGCGCTCATCAAGATTAGATGCTCTCAATTTGTTGTAACAGTCATGATCATCTGGATTGTGCTGTAGTTCTGACTCTTCCTCTTGAAACATCGTGACTACACGTGTGGGTGGGTGCACCATATAGGTTATTAAAAACACACCCATTTACTATCATGGCTGTTGATGTTTAAACAGGTCAAAGAAGGTGCTAAACAAACTGTGAAAGACTTCTACGCGCACATATCACTAGCAGCATAGAGCAGTTAGACACTCTCCCCTCCTCCTTATCCACTCTTGCTAATACATATCCATGTTTTTATGCTATGTAGAAAGTATGAGCAAATGCTGATCAAGTTTGGATTTTTTATGAATTTTTAAAGTTCCTCAAAAATCAGGCCAACGTCCCTGTATTATCATAGTATGGGGGCTTTGATCAAATTTTGCCAAAAATAAAAAGTAGAGAATTCTCCATTTTCATAATTTTTTCTGATACATATACATGTACTTATGTTGCATAGAAAGTTTGAGCTGATTCTAATTAAAATTTTGAAAGCTCGAGCCAATTAAATGGTCTTTAAAAGTACTGACTATTAATAACTATAATAATCATAAATTAATAACTAACCATTAATATACATGAAGTGTCACAGTTGGTTGATATTCTCTTCCCAATGCAAGCAGCTGTTTCATTAATACTACAATGACAATAAAAAGATTAAAATTATCACATTTCAGATATGTGTATAAAAGATTATCACCCAATAAAAAGTGAGCATCACTAATACAGTAATTATACATTAATGGCTATACCTTGTATCATCAATAGTTTCATTTGCTTGATAGTATCCAACTATAGTCAATCCTTTACTGCTAGCATACAGCTCAACCTAACAACAATTAAACAATGATATATTTATAGCAGTTTTTCAATGACTAAATTTTCTGAATCCATCAAAAATTAGATGCGAACCACACAAATTTTTAACTAAAAAACTTCCCACCACTATACAATATAAATAAAAATATATGATTAATTACTTGATTAAGTGCTACTTCAATCATGGGAGCCAAGCCCAGTTCAATGTGAAACAATGGGATGGTGTCCTGTATCTGTACACGATTATCCTTCTTAGATATGGTTCCAATTAATGCCCCATTGATCTCCCTATCCGGATACTTAGCAGAGTGGCAGATCAGTTTAGCATAAGCACGAGCTGACAACTGGAAATGAACCATTGTGTCTCTGCAAGAGCCAAGCCACACCTTCTATGAAGCGCCACCTATTCACCACACCTACATAACCATGCCCACGTGATTGCACGTGGGTTCGTAATCTTCCACGTGAATTTTGTATACTGTTGTACTTTTCCGTAAACTGAAACCCCAGGTCTAAAGATCACGTGATACCTACTGCGCATGCGCAGTGCTATCAAAAAGCACGTGTTGTTCTTCCCGCCTTTTTCAAAAGGAGAAGAGAGAAGGACTGAAGAAGATGAACTGGTCTAAGACACACACACACTCTCTCTCTTTATCCCTCCCTCCCCTCCCTTACCAACAGCCTCCATTGGTAAATCTCTACTGAACTAACCTCTTCTTTTTAGATCCGCCATTTTATCACCACTCCTCCACCATACCCCCACTCCTCCCATTATGATTACTCCTAAAGCCTCAGTTTGGTTAGTGATTCCTCTATTCTTGTTCTCATTATAGGCACATCAGAACTGAAGCTATTGAAGACTGAGCCAGGATATTTCAAGTTGTATGGTAGTGTGTATTATATCATCTCTATTGTTTTATGTAGGACAACCAGTCAGTATTTCAATGATCCATTCATTCATTATTGGTACGTGTGTATTATTATTATGTACACTCTATGTTTGTAGGTAATAAGGTCCTGCCCTAATCTTTATACATGTACGTGTACATACGTATGCATTCTAGTGTACTCTTGTATATTTTTAGGATATTACTCAGTATATTATTTCAAGTGTTGTACGTACTTATATTATGCATTCTAATATACTCTTGTATATTATTAGGATATTACTCAGTATATTGTTTCAAGTCTCATCTATTGTACAATAAATTTGTGTTGTTCTTGTATTATTATCTATTTTACAGGTTATATTCATGTACTTGATTCATTCAGGATATTTTAAGTATTGTCCAGTATATGATTATATTATTATTTATTTTACAGGTGATGAAGACACTGAATTAAGTTTTAATGTTGTTTTGGTAATAAGTGGAAAATTATAACATGCATTCCTGTTTATTTTCAGGATATCATCAGTATTCTAAAGACGGAACTACCTACAGTACATCAAGTGTATGGTACAGTCAAGCTATGCATGTTTTTAACTTTTCTACACGTACGCACACATTCTCTTGTTTTTATTCAGGATATTATCAGGATATTAACACTGCAACAGTTTCTTCAAATCTACTACAACTCATCATATGGTTTTCTAATGATATCCACACACTATCATGTACATATACATCCTTATCTGTAACATGTATTCTATTTCCCTTTCCTTAAGATTGCTACATAGACTCAAGCCAGCATGCAGTCTTCTTCAGCATCAATTCAGTCCCAGTCTTCAGTGTATGGTAACAATGTATCTATTGCATGTTATTAATAACCTTGATTACAGTGCTAATAATAAACGGCTCATTTTATCACTATTCATCCCATTACATGTAATAGAGCACTGTCCCATTGATCTTTACTTGTTCTATTGTTTAAACATTTTCTCTTTTTTTTATTTCTGCAGGGATCAAGTTTAAAGTTGGTTGAGTGTGAGGTAGAGTGAGAGTTAATAATGTATAATTACGCATGCTTATAATGTATTTTATGCATGTACAATATAATCCGCACATGTCCTTCCACCCCCCCCCCACCTCTAGCAGGTCTGACTGTTCTGGACTGGACTCAGGATCAAGTTTAAAGTTGGTTGAGTGTGAGGTAGAGTGAGAGTTAATAATGTATAATTACGCATGTTTATAATGTATTTTATACATGTACAACATAATCCACATATTCTGCTCTCTCCCTCCACTCCCCCCCTCTAGTAGGTCTGACTGTTCTGGACTGGACCCTGGTAAGGATTGATTGCATGTTCTCCGTTGTTACATGTAATGGGATGAATAGTGATAAAATGAGCCAATGGTTTAATAACATTTTTTAAAAGAAAAAAAACTAATAATAAAAAATAAAAATTTTTAAAACTAAAAAATTATTAATAAGTAGGTGTGGCCTTACACATAACCACACCCCTGATTAATATAAAGATGACCACACCCTTATAATAGATTATAGCCACACCTATCTACTGCATTGTGGCCTCACGTGGGCGGAAGCTGAAAGAGAAAGACCTTGGGACAGACAGGAATAGATCCTCTTGTTTGTGTCCACAGGTACTATACCTACTGCTGGTATACTGGTTGTTGTTCTATATCTACTACTACTGGTGATACTGCTGCTAGTGGTACTGGTACTGTTGGGCTGGTGGTGTTATGAAGAGAAGGACAGGAACTGAGGAGAGAGAGCCTGTCCCTACCAATGAGCAGATACTGATATTTGACAGACCGTGAGATACTATAAACTATACAATAATAGTCACTAGTACTGTTGATTGTGATTGTTAGTTCATGTAGCATTATTGACAGCAGTAGCATTTGGTGACTCTACTTTAGGAGCTTATTTTTTATAAATGATGATGAGTATTTATGAATTATTTCTTTTTTTAGGATTCATAAAGTTAGGGAGAGTCTCTTTTCCACAGGCAGTGGGTTTGTTAATTACAGGGGCTTACTCAACAACTGTATAATATGTCTAGTGAGTGACACAATATTTAATGATAATTAATTAATAATGGCTCCTCCTTTTAGTTACTATCAAACTTTCATAACATACTACGTAACTTTAACAAGTAAGTAATGAAGTATTATAATAATAATAATATTATTATTATTATTATTATTCATTAGATATGGTTTATTAATTAATCCAGCTCAGTGGGTGACCATTAGTCTACAGATGGGTACACTACCAGCAATACTATCAATACTCTGCTGTGAGTAACACCACCAATCAATGATAACCTATCAATAATGTAATGTACTGTATATACCTGTATAATGCATTGTATTATACTGCAGTGTATTATAGTGTATAGTACAGTGTATTATAAAGCTGTCATTGCAGTGAATATATTCTTATCATCATTTATTGTCACTTGTTTTGTCTGGTAGTTATCAATAATTGTTACATGTATGGTCACTACCAGTAGACTTACTACTACTGGTAGTCATAGACTCAGACACCTGTTGCTGTTCATGTTCATGTACAGTGTATAGCAGTGTAATAGTGTTACAGTGTAGAGTGTCTGTCAGTAATTGTTGTTGCATATTTCTATTGTTATACAGTGAATGTGCTAAATCGTGATAATATTCCTCTTATTTTAATTATCAATTTATTATTTATTTTATTTTTAGTATTTTCTGTCTTTCCATTATTGACGTTTCTCCTTGAGAAAGCTGCTTCAAAGGTAATGGGTGGAGCCTATTATTAATTAATTAATTATTAATTAATAGGGATTATTAAAGGAGCGTCCTTTATTGATATTACATGCCAGTAACATGATAATGCTACTGGGACTACCAGTGGGTGTGGTCTTCTGGTTCAAACTAGGACCAGGTATGTTTATTATTATTATTATTATTATTGTTGTTGTTGTTGTTGTTGTCATTATTCTACAGCTGCTGGTTTTATTGTTATGTTCAATTATTCAATTGTTTGGATGAAGATGATGTCATATACTCAAGTCAATTCATGGTGTAGGCGTGGTCAAGGTGGAGTGGCCACACCCACTAATAATCATGACAAACCATTAGTCCAGTATCCTGATAATATCACTGTTAAGGGTAAGCCCCTTCAACTTATTATTATTATTAATTTTTAATTTTTTTAGATTTTTGTTATTTCATTGCTGCTCCTACATTGTGTTATGAGTTGAACTATCCTCGAACACCAAAAATTAGGAAAATATTTTTATTAAGAAGAACACTTGAATCAGTTAGTGTAATATCATCATTATTAATTATTATTAATTTATTTCTATTAATCATTATTAGATATTTCTAGTTAATATATTGTTAGCATTGTCCCAGCAATGGCTAGTACCTACTGTAATGGGATCACTGGAACCACTTCAGGTAATTAATAATAATAATAATAATGATGATGAGGTTGAAATCCTTTGTGAATCCAGCAGTTTAGGCCTCAAAATGAATAAATTATAATTGCAAATATCAATCATTAGCAAAAGATTTCAACCTAAAACAGTTTGCTCTGTATACATGTACATGTACATTAATTATAATATTTTATTATTATTACTAGTCAATGGATTTATTAATGATGATACAGAGAGGACTGTTACTAGCGGTTAGTTAATTAATTACCTCATTAATATTCATTAGCCCCTCCCACCCAATAGCTCCCTAATCACCTCCTCTGGTTATTATTATTCTATTTTTATTTCCATTCCTATCTCAACGTCCTTGCTGAGTTACTGAGGTTTGGTGATCGCTCCTTCTACAAGGACTGGTGGAACGCTGATAGTATTGATACCTTCTGGAGACACTGGAACGTACCAGTGCACCGCTGGGCTGCTAGGTGGGTGGAGCTAGTTATTAATAGTTATTAATGGTTATTAATAGGCATGTGTATTACCCGTTGCTCAGTAGAGGATATTCCAGGGTTATGTCTCAGATAGCAGTGTTCCTGTTATCAGCTTTCTTTCATGAAGTGAGTGACATTATACTGGACCTCTTGTATAGGGTACAGGGTATTTGATGAATGTACATGTACTGATGTTGTGTAGAAAGTTTGAGCTGGTTCTGATTGAAATTGGATTTTCAATGAATTTTAAAAGTTACTCCAACTACTAGCAAGAGTGGTACTAGTCTATTACCATATATGGTATGGTATAAATGGTATCAGTTTAGGGAGATACCCAATGTCTGTAGTATTATGATTATCTACTGTGATAATAATCATGGCTTCATAGCATAGTGTGATTTACTAGTACAGTGGACCATTTGTCACAATAGTTTAACTACTGTACAAGATGATTTTTTGGTGAGGAATTAATATTGGCAATTGGCAGTTTAATGAAGAAATTGTCAATATAAAATCTGCCATTTTGTTTCAATTTGGGCAGGCTCAACGACACATGGCACAAAATTGCGAATATAAAATTTGCAAATTAACTTTTAGAGGC